TCAATTAGTAGGTCTGAGTAATTTCCCGGAATAAATGATCAGCTCCTCCCGACTCTAACACCGGGCAACGGGAAACAAAATGGCCAGCCCGACCACAGTAAAGGCATAATTTACCTCTTTGGCCTAATTCTCTTTCCTCTGAGGTAGGACTGGTACGGCCCACCTGCATGGGCTCGATCTCCCCGTACCGTGAGTCAGAGTAGGGATAGGAATTCTCCGCTGAAACCGGAAGTCGAAATCTCCCAGAAACCAGAAGTCGATGTTCCCCGGAAACCAAAAGTCGTTGTTGCGAGCTGCGGTCCGCTGCTCTCGTCTGCTGCTCTCGTCTGCTGCTCTCGTCTCCTGGATTCGCCTGTCAATCCGAGATGTGAGTTTGATCCAAGGAATGAGGGAGATCAAAGGAAACCAGTTAATCTCTCACATAATCCGCTAATCCCCTCAGAAATGCGTCACACTGTGCCGGGTCGTTCCAGCACCAGCCGCCTCGGCTCCTGGTGCGGAAGTCTATGGCGTAATCTACCACCTTACCGGGACCCTGGCTCAGGCTCAGCAGACCTCCGGCAGCGTCGGGACCCAGGCGAAACGGGACTGAACACCTTCCGCAACTCCGTGGAAAATGCGGCAAAAGAGCCGCAGGCTGGAGTGTTCTGCTCCCACTCGGCAGTCCCCCATAGACGGGCTCTCCCCGTCAGGTGATTCACGGGGAACGCTACCCGAGCCGCCTCGGAAGCGAAGGTGTGTGGCTGCAGTGCAAACAATATGGAGCAGTTTGTGAGAAAGGGGCTGCAGCCCTCAGGCTCACCACCGTAGTGTTCCGGCGTTCCCACGCGAAGCTCCGGAGCGTATCCAGTCGGCCAGGAGCTGGAGCGGGTGCTGGGGCTGTGGGTGGAGGGACGGTAGCAACCATGTTTAAGTTGTACTGCAAAACATCTTGACCTTTCAAGACTAATCATCGTACATGTAGTCATAAAATCTTACTGGACTTCAGCCGCGGCATCAGGATTTCAATTTTGGGTGGGCCAATGTAATTTCGGCTGGGCCTGTTCTGTCTTTTAAACATTTTCACGTAGGCCTATAAGAAGCTTAAATATGATTTAAATTATTAAGCGGCATGCCGCAATGAGTGAAATTGAATGTTATACTGAATGTTATTTTGTTTTGGTTCACAATACATTGATACATTTAGAAACAAAGAGCATACAACGGCAGAATATGGAATAATTACCGAGCACCTGATGTGTGTCTGTGTGGTTAGACTGCAGCCTGCTGTCCTTTTTAGCGGATCTAGCGAAGTGAGCGGCCGTGCGTAAATGGCACTGGTTCTCTGACGCGGCACTTTTCAGAGGCTGCAGATTTATCGTTAGGCTACTTCCTTCTGATACTGCAGAGATTTCATGAGCTGAAGGTACGTTTCATACTAAAGCAGCTGGACAGCAGATACTGTTTCACATCAGGAGCTTTGCTGATTTGGATGTGAGAATGATGTCCAGTAAAACATTTAGGTGTTCCCGATTTTTCTCAATTATCTCTCCCTGTCGGCCCTCTGGGTTGAGTAGCTGATGGAGGATGGTTCCATGGTCAGATTTCACACACGTCTGTAGTTTGTATTTCTCTCCATAGCTATTACATGAGCTGCGCTGCATTATACTATACTGAGAGCATAGTCGATGTGTTTCCAGTCCCTGTAACCATGGCGACTGAATGTATCTTCTCCGCCGGCCCCGCCTCTCTCACTAAAATGCCGGCACATTTTACAAAACACACTGTCCTTGCTAATGCTATACTCCAAGAATGTGTACTTGTCATACCAGTGGGCAGCGAAGCTCCTTTTTTTTTTGTCCGAAAAGTGTCTGAGGGTACTTTATGAGCTTTGGCTGTGTAGCCGCCGGGTCATCTATGGCTGATAGGTCCGGTGTTGTGTCAAATGATGCACCCCCGTCGTGAAATGCACCCCCTAGCCTGCCGTAAAAAGCACCCCCCCAAAAAAGATGCTTCTATTAATCCCACCCTCAAGCACTTTGGAGGGTATAGTTGTAGGACTAGTACCAATAAATGAAGCAAGTTTCATGTATGTGACACGTTTATTGTCAGAGATAGCAAGGGGTGCATATCGTGGCAACCAGGCTGTTCATAAAAAGCACCCCCCAAAATAAAATGTTTCTATTAATCCCACCCTCAAGCACTTGATGTAAACATAAACAATACATTGTAAAGCACAAGTATACAGACAGGACGTCACAATTAAATAAAAACATATATTAAATAAAAAATTAGGCTAACTGAAAAATAAGTGACGAATGAATGCAAAATCCAGGATTCGACCACCCAACCATCAAAAAGACAACATAGATTAGCGGACTATACGTTCAAATGCGCGTTCCTGTGTCAAGGGGTGCATTTCACGACGGGGGTGCATAATTTGACACAACACCGGCACTGGGATGCTATTTTATGTTGTCCTTCCAACGGATGCTACGTCCCGCAGAGGGACTGAGCTCAGCGGGGCACAACATTAAACACACTCTCGTCTCTCTGAGGCGGCACCTGCTGTGAGGATGATGAGTGTGGTGGCTCCGGCGGCAGCGACTCTGTTCTTACTCTTTTAAAAACCTGAACATCGATTGTTGTGACATCGTTAGTGAGTGCGGTATATTTTTTGTGTCTGTCCAGTCCACTGTCCTCCTTCATCTGCGCCCGGCCGCGAGACGTTCTACAATGTGTTTGCTCCTGCGCTTCGACTATGAGTTTGGTCCAATTCACATTTTACGTTGCCTGATTTCATTAATTCATGTTGCTTTTAAAGGGAAACACATGTTTGCTCTTATTTTATTATTTAATTGTTAATTTTGATAATCTAAATAAAAAATGTTGGTAAACTATCAGTCATTTTTGATCAATGAAGGGGTGGGCCCAGCCCCAGTGCCAGAGTGGGTGGGCCTAGGCCCAGTAGGCCCACCCATAACGCCGCGGCTGCTGGACTTGTAACATTCAAGAGCTGCATTTGTAAGATGATGCAGCATATCGTATATAGTATTTGACTCCTTCATTCTTTGACTATTCGGGTAATGGGTATTTTACAAACAAATTAGGCCGCTATTACTTCTGTCAAATAATTATAGTTGTTAGAAATGTGTAAAGACTGACCAGTAGCTAATGTTTTAAGAATCACGTTGGATCCATTAGAGTCAAATTTATATTTATTTAAATAACTATATAGTTCAGTGGTACAGGCATACTCAGTGTGTATGTAATACAACACCAAAGCAGAACCAGGACATCTGACAAACAGGTCCAATAAGGGACAGGCAGAATACTTGGGATCCAAAATCTGGCAGGGTCAGTAACAGGCAGAGCAGATAAACAGACTCATCATCCATCACGTGTGGAACTCTAAACAGATGTAATTCCTCGGGGTACAGTGACATCACATGAAAGCTGTGTGGATCTACATCAGTGAACGTGACCCTGGACAACATCAGCTGTCTGGGACCAACAGACCTCTCACCACATTCACTGAGGGAAGGTCAAAGGTCATCGAGCAGGAGTCTGTGGACAGCAACAGTTTAAGCTCACTCACACCCCATGATGATAGACCACTGCTGATAGAGACTGATAGGTCATTGGAACCTTAGGGGTAAGCCTTGCATTGGGATTCTTTTTAAAAACTATTACTTCCAAGAATGAACTTTCATGCTCAAAACGTGTCACTGTTTTCAAGGTAAAGACAACACAACAAAAAAGAGGCTGAAGATCTTGATTCAATGATAATTACCTGTTAAATTATGGCGATCATTTCATATTACAGTGTATATTAAATAAATGTTGAAATGTAAATACTTATAAATGCTGGTTTAATGTTTCAAAAACATCAGACTCACAGTGAATTAATGATGATACGATACGATAAGGAAATTTGTTCCGGACTCCGTCCTGCAGTTCCGAATACATGTACATATACAAACATAGTAAACATTCAAATACATACACACAAATCATCAGTCATACACCGTTTGAACAAACACAATACACAGACGCACATACTGACAATGGCGACTTATTGCACAACCCTCATGGTCAACAGTTAAAAAGTACATTTCATTACATGTGAGTATTAAGAAGTGTAATGAGTGCTTATAGCGGTTCAGCCTGCTCTTGGGAGCCCTGAATCTTCTACCAGAAGGTAGGAGCTGGAATTCTGGGTGGAGTATGTGGGTGGGATCAGACACCATTTGTTGTGCCTGTCTAAGAATGGACTCTTCATATATGTTTTGGAGGGATGGATGTTTTTTAACCCCTATCATTTTCATAGCAGTCTGTACCAGGCGAGCGATCTGTGACTTTGACTGCACTGTCAAGTTACCGTACCAGGCAGTAATACCATACCTAATGATGCTCTCCAACACTGCATGTTAGAACAGTAACATGAACTTCTGCTCGACTCCGTAAGCCCGGAGTCTACGCAGAAAATACAATCGCTGTTGAAGTCTAGAGCACAGACCCTTAACATGGACCCTCCAGCTGAGTGTACTATCTATATGAACACCAAGGTACTTATAGAATTAATGATGAAGTGACGAAAGCTGGATTAGCAGCCACAGGTTCTGGTATCACTTTGTTTGGCAGCTTGTTAATTGAACATGTAATATTCAGTCAGCTGATTTACCTAAATCTAAGGCCTTGTTTATAAAAATATTCCTTAATAAGTAAGTCATAAGACACAATCTAGTTTAATCCTTCTATGTATTTTGGTGTGGGTATTACAAATGCAATGTGTAATATCTATCCATAGAGGGAGGCATTTCACCTCCACTACGGGGTCTATACCCAGATGACAAAAAGGCACAAACTTCCAGCAACACTTATATAACACAGTATAAATGGGAACTTTACGATGACAAACTAAATGACACACAGTGGCTTTGGGGGCCCTGGTGGTCTGAGGCTCCAGAAGTGTTGCTTTTGAGATGGTGCAAATGTATTACAAAGAATTCACACTGGACTGAGAAGGTGACAAGTATTTATTTGTAAATCAACAGTGTTAACATGTGCATCATTTATACTATATAAAAAAACAAAAACAATATTCATACAAAATCTGTTAGTACATGCTGAGTATAAAATACAAGGGTGGAGGGCTGACAGGTTCAGGATACGGAGCAGAATGTCTGTATGCTGTATGTGATCAGCATTCATGGGAATTGTGTCGGTGGTGGGTTGGTTGTCAGTACTGATGATAACTGGCATTTTGGATAACATTAAGTTGAGCCATAACTCTGTAAAAAGGAAGATTTAGCGACAGAAACAGGTGCTAACTAAGCTAACGTACTAGCATGGAGCCTACTCTCACTCAACATTATGTGAAGTTACAGGAAGTAGTCTACATTTTCATTTATATATTCAGTTATCTATTAAAAAACAGCTGAGCATGGTTTACATTTCACAAGCAGTTGTAGAACATTTAAGTAGTAACACCTGTCAAGGAGTAGCTTCTGGACCTTTTTAACAGAGGACTTTGACAGTAAAAAAAGTACAAGTGTAAAGAAAAAAGGAATAACAACTCTGAACATCTAGAACATTATAGGACATATATAACAAGCATTTTCCTCCCTCGGAGGAGCTCAATTGTTTTCAGTCAGTTTCAATAGCTAGCTTGCTGCACTAGCGTACAACTAGAACCTGAAGCCACTCTGCACATTTAAGACTCAAAAACGTTCCTATGACCCAAGGTTCTATTTGCTTTATTTCATTGATTGCTAACCATTAGCTTCTGGGCTAACGCCATGCGGCTGCACTCACAACCCCATTCTCTTTTGCTCTACTGGATCTACTTTCTACCTGGAAATGAGAGCAGATACATTGAGTGTGAAACATTTCTACAATCAAACTATACAATTAAGTTATTTGGTCAAATAAAATGTTGTTTTTATGGCTTGGCAGCAAATGTCCTAGTGTGTGGAACTGGTTTGCAGTCTGAAAGATGGCTGTTATGATGTTTTTATTTTTTAACAAGCATGAGGGCAAAACCAAGGCACAGATGGTCAAACTTGATGATGATGATTGATTCTAATCCAGCTCCAGCTGCACCATGGCCACCAGTAGTACAGCTGTCATTAATGTTCTAACAGAAAAGCACCCTTTGCTGAATGAATATCATGCAAATTGTCACTCAAGCTCTCTGTATTAATGATGGCAGGCAGGAAACAAGAGGTGATTACATACAATATCATTCAACCATCACAGAGTATCCTGGAGCTGACTGAACATAAGAGGCGGAAGCTGTCAGGGCTGGAGTATTCATTCATTCATCTGTTATTGAAAGAGAACTACCCAGTGCCCTGCTGTTGTGTAATGTTGTGATCAGCTACACCTAAACACTGAGCAAGAAGAAGCTTTCACCCTTTCAATGAAAAATACCTATAACTCCACTTGGTTTGAGCAGGTAAACAATCCAACTACACACCTTTTGATGATAAGGCACATTTATGTCGTTTGTCAAAATGTGTTAACAATGGCGGGAAATATGATCAATTAAGAGCCTGTGTCCTGTGTCTGAGCTGCAGTTTCATTTTCAAATGTTCCCAATTAGGGGAGAGCATATGCTGCTGCACGCTCACAATGCTTTAGTAGATCATCTTTTAACTTTTCAGATCACGGGAGATAATGGAGGAGAAGCTTGTTTTTTATCATGATCATTATTGTGATGTTGTATAGTGTCCTTCAGAAGGCCAGAGGTCACACCTCTGTCAGGGTAGTTACTTTGATTTCTTTTTTACTACTCTTTTTATTTACTGTCATTCTTTGTGCTGCTGTCAAGGTGTGAGTACGCTTGTTGGATGTGCATAATGAACACCTTTTGTGCAACAATCTTGTGAGGTGTATAACTGGTTAAGCATATTGCATGCATGACTTAGAAAGAAACTCAAGAGGAATTCAGTGAATCTTAAGAGAGTCAACAGCCTCTCACAAAATGTAAATTATATCAATTCATCCCCTGAATTCCTAGTCAATATTGTTGAAATGAAATGGAAATACTGACACTTTTTCCTATTAATGCCCATATTTAATGGCAAAAAACATTTTCTCTACTGTCCTGCAGTTATGTGACAGGAGACAGTCCACTTTAACTGAGCAATGATACATGGAGAACACCACTAATAATACAAACTGTAGGTTATAATTCACACATAAGCTATCCTATCCTAAACCTCATCTGCCCAGTGACGTGTGGAAATAAGACTTGACCATAAATATCTCACCTAGAACAATTCAATATTATACTGATGATATAACTTGTGTTATTTATGTCTTTTGTATGTCTTCCGTGTTCTCACGAGCATCTCACACTGAATGCTTCTGTTCATTGTCTCCACTGGGTGGAGCACTGAGCAAGAGAGTGAGGTACTTCCACTAGCTTAAGCAGTACTCAACCAATGACCTAGTGACTAGTTTCATTCTATCCATGTCAAGAAGTAGACGTCAGTTAATAGAAGTCTATGAAAAAACGTGATGATGGACATATTAAGCATGTTCCTTTCTTTAGGCACTTAAATGTGGCCTGAAAGCTTTATAAAAAAATCTTAAACATTTAAACGGCATCCTCCATTAGGGTCAAACTTCTAAACAATAATGATAAACTGCATTGCCAAACATTTGTGGACACCTGGACATTTCATGGGTGTGGGACTGTCCACATACTTTTGGCCATATAATATACAATTGATATAGCTAACACCAAGGTGCTGACACACCTCAATGTTAATCTTAGTCTGTTCCCTGTCATCGTGCTGCTCTCCCTGCCCTGTATGCGTGACCATGCTCGCTCACTTTGCTTCACATATATCCAAATCTGATGCATTTATTATGTATTGTAATACAAATTCAAATATCATTTTTCATTCAAAACAATTCACTAGCATGTCCCATATAGTAAAAGAGGAAAACAAATTCTCCATCTAATTTTTTATGTGGGGAAAAAAGGAAATATAAAAACATATCTTTCTTTTTCACATCTCTCGTTGTGATTGGATGAGCGTGATCGTTCCTCTGAGGATCAGAGGTGGCTCTCTGATTGGCCCCTGTCATCGGTCCCGTTCTCCAGGGGCCACGGGGCCAGGCCCAGCTCACTGAAGCTCACGTTGCTCTCGTTGAGCCGCCGGACGCGGTACGTCTCGTAGTGGATGTTGTGCGTCACGTCTTTCAGGTCCTGCAGGTGAGACCTTTGTAAAGAACAACAGAAACAGAAAGGAAGATTCAAAGCTTGGTCATCATTATGCTACTCTGTCTTATTCTATTATTATTATTCAGCTGCCATCAGTCACATGATTTGTGTGGCACTTTGGTTGATGGATTGAAATTCATATTGACCATCGCAGTGGTTTGTTTAACATTCAGTGACTCTTATGGTTCTCACAAATGACATGTTGTTATGATAAGGTGTAGTAACGCAGTCAATCTCACCTGATGAGCAGATCTCTCAGGTTGGCAAACTCACAGTGTTCCACATTTTCAACTGTGGAACAGAAACACAATTATTTTAACTTTTACTTTCCAATGCAGCCAGTGAACTCAGTTCCAGAGAAAGAGGACCTTTTGTTGGAAGAATCAGATACAGTGGAGACTTATGTGTCTGTATGTTTTATTAAATATCCCATGCCCATACTTGCCAACCTTGAGACCTCAGAAAGCAGCATCACCCTTTCAAAACCACCGCGCGGGGGTGCTAGTTGATCGCCGGTGCTGTTAGAACTGTTAGCCTCGCAGCGGGGAAACAGACTTCTGAACATCTACACCTGCTTATTGTAGTTGTAAGTGCACTGCCTTGCGGCCTGTAGCACCATCCTTGATGGAGCTTGTGTGGGCTGGACCTGTATTTTACAGGAAAGGAGTGAGCAGAGGGTCGAGTTCCTCACCATGCTGAACACCCTCTCAGACTTTCAGTTGCGCGCGTTACTAAAGAGACGCGCTACCATGGAAACCAAACAATGGTGTAGCTGTATTAAAGTCCGAGTGGAAACAGTCGTGAGTAAATCTGATTTTGTCAGAAATCGGGAGAAATGCGGGAGAAATATGACTCCGGGAGGAAACCGGGAGAGGGCAGTGAAATCGGGAGTCTCCTGCGAAAATCGGGAGGGTTGGAAAGTATCCCCATGCCCCACATGTGGCCTGGGAGTGAATATATCATTTCAGGAAACATCATCATCACATAGTAGTAAGTAAAGTAAGTAAGTAAGAGGCAGCTGCTATAGTCCTTTAAAGCCTTTGCTGCACATCCATGCAGTAGCAACTATAAGAAGTGAATGTAAATATCAGATTTGATGTTAGAGTGATGCTCTACCTTCAATGATTCCCCACTTTGTTTTACGTCCCAGCACCTTGTGTCCATTCACCTGGTGCTCCTTATCCGTTCCCACCACAGCGAAGGGAATGCTTTCCTGAACACACAATATGAAATAACAATGTTCAATGATCACGTCCCACAGGCCCATCTATCATTTTAACATGTGAGCTATCAGAACAGCACCAACAGGTATAGACATAGTGAGTAGTGTACAGGAGTGTAGACGTTACCCTGATCCTGTCATTAAGGATGCTGTCCTCCGGATCCTCATCATACTCTTTCTGGGGGTAAACACGAATCCCATTGGCTGCTAGGTCTTGCCTTATCTGTCAATGAGTCAGAGGTTATTAAAGATTTACCGAAGCAAGAAACAAGGTTTAGTTCTTTTAACGCTTTAAAACATCATCTGGAGGACACGTAAGGAACTAAAGAAAATAACATTTAGTTGAGTGTGTGTGTTTGTGTTGTCCCTTACCCTCTCTTTGAACTCCTGTCTTTCCTCAATGGTGAGTGTGTCGGCTTTGGCGATGACAGGTACGATGCTCACTATCTTTCCCAACCTCTTCATGAACTCAACATCGATTAGGCGTAACCTGGAAGCAGACAGACCTCTGGTCAGCTTGGATGTACTTTTTCAAAGTGTCAAAATGTACACCATCACAGCCAAAAGCTGAAGAAAAACAAATTCATTTTTTAGCTATGCTAGCAATATGACTCCATTGATGGCTATGTTGCTCAGACTGTTCCCTCAGGACAAACTAAGGACTTCGGTTATCCCTTTTAACAGCACTTTCATTTCAGGTTTCAGGCGAAAACTGACAACACTCCTATCAGCAACAGATAAATGCTAAAATCTACGAAAGTAGCTTGCAGTAGATACATAAATAAATAATGTATTCTCTCTTTATAGCAAGCCATGGTTACAATCAAGTGATGAAAATGCGGGAAATGTGACCTGCCAATAAGCATTTTTTAAACATACATTCCCAGAAAGCCACTAGCATGACTGTAGATCAATGGCAGCTATGTGCACAGGCTGAGGTCACACTGTAGCTCACCTGCGACAGGTAATACTGGAGGAGAAGAGAACATGAAGCAAGCTGAAGGAATGAAGGACCTGAACACAGCGATTGCACACGGTAGTGTCCTCTGCAGTAATGACACACTGAGACAATACCGTATCAGAGCCAGGTTATTGGTTTGATGACAGCATCATAATAATAGTCTTTCAATAAAGTGTGCTGCTTTTCATTTGTCAACTCAAGTTTCCTTTGGACTTAATATCTAAGTCTGTACTGAAACATGACTGCAGAGCATCAGACAGGCTGCCTCGAGCAGCTTGCGTAACCTCTCCCTTCAATCTTTTGTGAAAAACATGTCCTGGATGTGACTGCTGTTGTGCGTCATGTGTCACTGTCGCCCTGTGTCGGAGGGGCATTGAAAGTGAACAGTTTCTGAAGGTGAAATGTAATTAAAGGATGAAGCGGCTTCCTCATGCTCATTTCCTTGCGCCTAGCATTACAGTGGTGTTATCAACAGGTTCAATTCCAAAGGTCACAGTGCTGATCAAACCGATATGGTTTGGAATAAAATATGTTGAGCAGGTCTCCCTTGAAAAAGAGATCAATGATCTCAAGGGATTCACCTGGATAAATAAAGGTTTGAAATGAAATGAAATGTTACTGACACAATAAAGTGCAAAATGCTCTGCTGGAAATAAAGCTAAATAAATCAGAGAGCCAGGTCTGAGGGCTGACCTGTGTCCGGTGGGGGGGAGGAAGTAGATGCAGCAGTGGACCCTGCTGTCTGGTATCCTCCTCTTCCTGTTGATATGCAGCTCTTCTCTCAGGTATTTCTCATACTGCTCGTTGACATGCTTCACTATGGGCTCCCAGCTGGAGAGAGGAGCAGAGGAGACAGTGTTACCAAGGCAACGTTTATACTTTGCCCCAGAGATACCTGCAATCAGATGCTCTGATATCATTATCTTTGATGTAAATGTAACCTTAAGACAGAGCCCCCACTAAATATTCTATACTGCAAATTCCCTACTTGATATTGTGTGTTTAAGGTATCTGAAAATGCTATCAAAGCCATTCTTGTTGGTCGCAGCTGTGGGTTAGGGTTAGGGTTGCTCATGTGCAAATATACTCAAAACTAATAATATTACATAAACGATACCTCTGAGGGAACACATTCATTTTTCACTTTAACATTTTCATTACTGTGGTTACTGGTGAGTATGACTATAACAAAATCAATAACGTCTATCTTTCAAAGACTACATTTCCCTTTGACTTAGTTGCGTGCTGATCACAGCAACTGCATGCAGTCATCTGCACACTTTTTAACTCAGATCTGGGAAGCACCATCTCCTACTCTGCTTCCAGGCATCGGTCTTTTCTCTCCCCATCCTTCTACCACTCACCAGTTCTCGTTGTTGATCTGGTCACCAAATCCTGGAGTATCGATCACTGTGAGCTTCATCCTCACCCCCTTCTCCTCAATCACTACACAGAGAGGGACAGAGGGAGAGGGGTTACATGTGCAGGAGTTAAACATTAAAAGTGAATGTAATCACATCACATTGTTGAACAGTAGAGGATGTTGTGCCATGAGGGTAGTGGAACCAGGCGGGATATCCAAAGTATCTTCAGGTTCAGTTTGGTACTAGTGTCATGGTTTCCAATCATTCTGAGATCCCTGTGTATTTGTGATTCCAAAGTTACGTTGTAGAGTTGGCTTTAGGGTTACGGTTGATAATGTTTCAAGTTAGTTCATGACTAAAGAGATGGCATAAGGGAGGCTCAAGGCTGATTCAGTGGCGTGATGAAATAAAACCCTGAAAAATTACACCTAGCTTTTTCAAGTTTTAAAAGGATTCGTATAGTTTGCCATCTTAGTTTGAGCTACAGCTTCCTACACCACTCATGTCCGACAAATTAGATTATTTTATGGAAATACTAAACGGCACAACAGTTTGAAAACATATATTCAGGGGTAGACATTAAGGGCCAGTAGATTTTCCTTATCACTGGCCCCACCATTGTAACCACTGGCCCGGAGCATTCGTCCAAACAAATCGACTCTAATAATGAAAAAAATGAACACATTTGTTGCAATAGTAATGTATGCACTAACTACATTACTACTTGTACATTTGAATCATCAGTTCTTCCTCATTTTCCTCAATTGTTCATATTTGGTTTATTAAAATAATTATATTGTGGTCATTGTTAAAAGAAAAAAAGTAGGATGACATTTCGGCTATGAGTATTATTATTAGTATAATGCGCTTTCTGCCTTCCTGTCATTATCAGGAGTTAGAAATGTAATGGCTATGTAATAGATTAGATTAGAACCTTCATTATCCTAAACTGCTGGGACATTTCCCTATAGCCAATACCTTTATATGTTCTACTCTTCACTTACTTGTCAGCATAGGTGGGCATTGATGTACAGAGCCGACAGAAGACCTTGTTTATGTCTTCATATTGAAACCAACTCCATCGATCAAGCTGGCTGAAACTTTCTCTCCCTTTTCCCGTCACTCTCCTTTAACTCCTCCGGTGACTTTCTTTATTTGAAGATTGTTTTTTGCCCGGCGCTTGGCCGGTTAGTGCAGGTATTAAAAACATTTTGGTCGAATGGTTAGCTGGCGCGAAAGTCTGTATTGAAGCGCTCCTTCAATTGCTTGTCAAAATACCAATACCACAGGACAATGTGATTTTATGTCTTACTGTTTTTTGTTTTTTGTTTTTTTTAAAGCAATATTTGTAGTGGCCCGAGCGGGCAAGTGGAAAGTACGTTATGCTGGCCCGGGGTGTCAAATAGTGCTTCCGGGCCAGCGGGCCATTTAATGTAATTTATATTTTATCTTTATGTCAATATATTATATTGACATAAAGATATATAATTAAAAAAGCTGCTGGTGTGTAAAGTTGTGAGCCTTTAGAGTGAGATTAGGATGTGGCTATGGGTATGGTAAATCCTTGAAAGCACAGGAAGTAAAACGTGTAATGATTGGATCAAAGTGATACCTTTGCTGAGTCAGTGTAGTGTGGCGACGTGTGGATGTTTGAGTGAAGACTATCATTTGGGTCCATTTCCATTGTTGACTAAGCACTCAGGAATCTCCTCTGAGTGGAAGCATGAGAGCACCCCTCTGGAACCTGCTCATTAACATTTTCAACAACCTGCAAAGTAACACTTTGTGGAGCAGACAACTGGTTTTACTGGTTCACACCACCTGAACCACAGACACATGTCCTGAAGAACATACATGTCAGTATACATGTTAGGAATATTAATCACATTTTATGATGGAATGACATCCATTCATCTGGGGATTCATCAAGACGTATGAAAGAGAAAATAAATGTTGCTACTTTCTGTGTACTTGGACAACGGGGTCTCACATTGTATTTCACACTCTTACAAGGGACAGTAAAGAGCTAGGACTGATAGAAAAAACATGTGCACGCACGCACACACACACACACACACACACACACTCCTTTTACTAGGTTTCTAATGGGCTTCACAGTTGCTGGAGGGTCACACCTGCTTTGCGGTCAGCATGGCCCGACATGTGTACAGTAACTCCAGATCTGACGCTCCGGGGAAGTCTCCACGTCCGCCATGAGGATGTTTAAAGAGATGCGAGCAGGTATTTGGAGGTGACGACGAGTCTGTAAACGCCTCTCAGTTTGTCCCTGAGGCAGTGGTAGTAAATGTAAAGACTCTGAAGCTGCTTTTGCTAACAAATGAATGAAAATAACAGTCGACCTTACAAAGTATAGCAGAATGACCTAAAGAGCTAACTGTCGGCTGTTTCACTCGGGACACAGCTGAAGAGAAACACAGACCTAAGGTCCAGTTTCAGTCTGACGGTGTGGAGGCGAGCTTCACTTCTGTATCTGCTCCTCACATCCTGTTGTCTCATCAACATGCTGCCTGCATTTTTATGACCCCTTCCACCTTTTCTTTAGCTTCACCATCACGACAGTTTCCACTTCTGCACAGAAAATATCACAACCTCACACACTTAACTTAGTTTTTCTTTAATCGTTACGATCACGATGACTCCCACCCTCTGCACACAGTTTAAGAGTTTAAGCTTCGTCTTCTGGCCGGAGGTTTTTCGTCCCAAAGTGTATAAAAACAGCTTTATTCCAGCAGCTATAGCTCAAATGAACAAGTTATAGCAGTGTCACACTATGGAAGCAATGCCTATTTATATATCAACTTTGTGGATTGCTCATGTTTGTAGGATGTGATGGAGCTTTTTGAAGAGATGTGTCTGTTGTCTTTAAAATGTGTGTTATAATGGATCCCTTGTCTTTTATCTGCAAAGCAAATCTACCTACGGGCACAAATAAAGAACCTGAATCCAAATCTCCTACTCCGGGTCTGAAAGTGAAGCCAATGCAACAGGTGAGAGTTTATGGTCTCAATCTCTCAATCTCTCTCTCGTTTTGATTCTTCTTCAACAGAACATGATGTGTGTTACTGTGAACTGTATTCCTATTAAGAGTCAAACAGACCACAAAGCAGTGGTAAGGCTCTAGGTTACCTTGTGATTGTTTTTGGCTTACTTACTCCATATTTTTTTACAGATTGTGTTTTCAGTTAATAAAAGTGATATTTCTAACCTATTGTTTAAAGGTGTTTTTAGCTCCACCATCTCCGGTCATTTCGGGTACCAAATAAAGATGTCGACCGACAGAATATGCCAAACCAAAGGGCCCCAACCAATAGGTGACATCAGGGTGACTACTTCAAGTTCTGACATACACTGTCACGTCAATTGTCTTCTGTGTTTGAAGTCATGTTTAATCCAAGAAATAAATAAATGCATTTTTATTGCTGTCGTACAAAAACACTGAGCATATTGTCAAAAGGTTTCATTTTATGGCAACTAACCCATGCATCCTAATTTCACATCGTCTTTTGTTTTAAAAATCTTAAACCACTTCCTGTTTCTCCACTTGTAAGTGCCCCGCCTGAGGACAGCCATGTTACCTACAATACTTATTGGTTACTGTAGCCTGTGACCTTTGACATCAGCAGTTAGCCACAGTCGGCTAAACTCAACTATAGCATCCAACAAGTTAGCATCGAGCTAACTACATGGTAAACAACTAAGGGACCATTCTCCTCCATCCCACACACAGGTTACTAAAGATCTCTTCCTAGATGTTAAGTGTGCAATTCACTGTAGGGCCAGTTATTATCAACTTCTATTTAGGACTTTATAAATATGAATAGTTTATTATTATTTATTATCATGAATTATTGTTATAACCAGACTTGCTCATACTCGAACCCCAACATTTTGGTGGTCCCTTTTAATACTGTCATAACTTTTGGAAAAGTGAAGTGAAACATTTTCATGAAAACTGCATGTTTTATGACCCCTTTATGTGCTCTTGTTTAAAATAGCTTGTCAGATTTACATTAGGTATCCAGACTTGGGATGTATGACAGTACGAAGACTAACATTCAACTAGGAATCCACAATTTGCTTCTGAATTTTGTGACCATATTTAGGCTTTTTCCTGCAATGCTGTAAATGTTCACATTTATACCTAGACAGAGTTTTCCTGAACAGTTTTACCTGCTTTCTGTCCAAGAGTGTGCAGAGCGTAAATGTGACAGGCCTGTATTACACTGAGAGAACATGTGAGAGTGAAGATGTTTATGGACCGTGTCATGGTCTGCTGCTTCACATTCTTTAAGTCACGGATGATAAGAGCATTCTTATGACAACGAGAGACAGATCATATGTTTCTTTGGCCAAATGTCTTTTTACATTAGTACTTCAACTCACAGAATAATGACAGCATTGAGTTGACGTGTCCAACGACGATCAACATGTTGGCTATAACGAAACTTACGCAACTAGCCGCGACTCCTCCAGTGAAAGCAGCACGATAGAAATAAAAGTTATTCTTGTGTTTGATATGTAAATGTAAAACTGTAATGGTGTTGAAAAGAAATCCACATACATTTGTATTGGGTTAACTGCGCAGTCTGTAATGATTTAGTACCGCAAATGATATCGCTGCTAGCTAGCTAACTTTCCCTTCCCAGATTCTCCTCTCTTTAAAGGCTGTGAGCTCAGCATGGCCTCTGACTGAGTTTTGGGAAGTGTTGAGCCCAAGCCCCCAGGAAGTGCGCCGGACTCAGATGAAAATATTCGTGCTGGCCAAACGGCGGTACTACACTTCCGTTTGGTTGCCAGGCCCGGAAACACTTTTTCCCATTGACTTACATGGGGAAAGAGTGGTCTGTAACTCGTTGGATAATTTTTTTTAAACTAAATAAACTACCCAGTATGCACACTTGTATAGCCCTTATTAAAAACATTAATTCCTCAAGTTGTAAAAATGTGCTAATAACGTTATTCTGAGAGTCATTTCCCTCTGCATTATGAACGCCCATCTAACCCACGGGACCGCGCCGCCCGGCACATTGGGTGGGGCTGGAGCTATTGGAGCTACAACGAGCCGTTAAAGGCAGAGTGAAATTCAGTGAATACACGTAGTTTACAGAGATGCTGTATGAGGAACCAATGTGAGTTGCGTTTATCTTTACCCATGGATGCACAATAAGAACGGATCCATATCGTCTTACTGCCATCCCACGGAGCTGTAATAATGGATATATTGCACATGTTTGCTGTAATTCATTATCATACATGGGCTGTATGATTAAATATTGTACCGTAAATGTTGTATTAAATAAAGTTAATATTACCGACATTATTAACGTCCCTGTAGCTTCGTATTGCACTAAGAATCATATTGCACTGTATATCAATATATATATATATACAGTGCAATAATAATTTCATGCTAAATGAAGCTCTGTTGGATATCACTAGATCCTGTTACAGCGTAATATAAGTGCATAACGATTGATGTGTACATTAGCATCATTACTAGCTAGCCGCTAGCTGCTAACTGCCGCCTCGTTCATATCAAATCCATGATAACAACAACCCATTACCATGCTGTCATGAACGCGCGGTGCTGTTACGTGTACGCAAATTGACGTGCTTGATGTGAACGAGCATTTTGGTTAAAGTTGCGCATGCTCTATGAGTGCACATATGGGTACTTCTCAGGCATGCTGGGTAATCTGTGACGTTTCACTCTCTCAAAGGTTGGGCCATTTTATCATCATGCGCTAATGAGCAGCTCTCATAGGAATGAATGAGGCCCCGCCTCCCACGCTGTATCTAGTTCTTATTATACATCCATGGTTGAGGAGCCCAACATGTGGTGATGACACGGTCGCTGAGTGCAATTTCAGACATCTGTATGCTAACGTGCTAACTATGATAACGCTAAAATGTGGTTGTTTGAAAGGTAACAGACAGCCCATGCTGGAGTTTCTGGTCATGAGACAAGAAGCTAAAGAACAACTAATGTAATAGTATGATGTCACACACACAGAGGTGTGTGGCGCAGTGGACTCGAGCGTTGGTGTTGGGATCAGGGGAGCACAGGTTCAAACCCCACTGCAGTCAGCATGTCGTTGTGTCCCTGAGACACTTCACCCCAAAGTGCTCCTGTGGGGATTGTCCACAGTATTGAGTATGGAAGTCGCTTTGGATAAAAGCGTCTAACAAGTGACATGTAATGTAATGTCAGTGCTGTCTGCTATGTATCTTCAGTCCTCACACTGAACACATGGAATCAGTTGTAGCAGAAAGACGAGAGTAGACAAACTCTTACCGTGGCTGACTGAGTGCAGTTTGACCGTTTTGGAGATCTTCTCTTCGTAGTTGCTCGTGCATGACTTCCGGCTGACTTTGGACTTGAACAGAGTGTTGACCAGCGTGGACTTCCCCAACCCACTCTGACCTGCAGACACATAGAACCAGAGCTTTAAACATCCTCTAAGTATCTGTAACGCTGGGTTGTATACGCCATGTCTCCTTATCTGAGAAGAGACTTGGATTAGTGGTTCAGACGTACAACCACTCCCCCAAACCCCAACCACATATTAAATACTAAACACTAGGTTTCCTGTCATGGTTAGCAACAACTCTCTATACATAGTACGTCAGAATCAGAATTAGAAATGCGTTATTATTTTTGCTTTATCTTTATAAAATTAGTAAGAGTGCTCAAGGAAAAGATAAACTTAAATATAAACATAATAGTAATGGAATACTGACTTAATGGAATAATTCACTCATTTGGACATCAATTACTCACCACTCTTTTGATTAAATAAGACATTAAAAACATTTTTAAAGCTGCTTTAATACATATTTGGAGGTGAGAAATAGTCAGAGTTCCCACTCCACATGAATGCTGTGTGTCTGAATCGGTAACTGTATAACCATAGTAGGTTTATAAGATGATACAAAGATGGCAAACTAGTGTACTGCTGTTCTGCACAATCACACAGAAACTAAAATGCAAATGGATTTGTTCCCAGTGTAACAGGCGTGTGTCGCATTCTGCCTCTTTTCATATCTACATATTCTGAATTCAATAGATATTGGTTATTAGAATCACTTAAAGAGACCTCCTCTAGTTCAGCTTTGATCTATATTGAATTATCAAGAGGAAACTTCTTGTTTCAGTCCAACGGCAGGGGAAGTGTTTATCACCTCTTCATGTAGCAGGAAGGAGCGACAGCCCCAACTCTCCAAACCACTTCCCTTCAAGAATCATACTTCCTCTTCCAGTACCAAAAGCAAACTATATATTTCAAAGAGGAAGAGACCCATCAGCCACATATCATTACACAGAGCATATTTTTACGATGCCATGTGTATATATAGGACATTGCTTTTGAGTTTATTTGTATTTAAGTGAAAAGGGAAAGCACAAAGAAGTAAAAGGAAATCCTACAACCTGTCAGTGACCTGGTGGCATCATGTGAGCCTCGCCTTTGGTCAACTGTAAGCTTGCCGCAATGCAGGGTGGGTTTGAATCGGGTAGAAGTTGGCTAACACCCACACATACACTTTCCTTTATGTGTTAGACACTGTTTCTACATATGAAAGAAAACATATTGTTGTGCATTTGGTGTCTTTTAGAAACCTGCCAATGACAGGCAGGCAACCCTGGCTGATCTTTACATGCATTTTTAAATGTTGAAACATTTATATATTTAAAAGTCAAATTACCTAGTGACTCTATTGTACTTCTCTACTTTACTTACTCCCTTGATACCTTCCCTCAGGGTTGCCTGTCTGATACTTGAGGTTGGTGCTACAATTTTCTCTGAATTAAATACTTTAGTCCCCTCAGAGCTTATGAAAAACTGCCAATAACGGCCCAATGGGGAGTAGCAAAGCTTAGAGTTCCTAAAGTTACGTTAAGCAGTCAAACGGTTGGGGATGAAGAAAGCCTGTCATTGAAGCCACCCTGGTCTGGTGGATTGATAAAACCTGGTCATGTAAGACCTCCTTAGAGTGAAACTCTTCTGATCTTAAACTGCATCGCGCCACAGCATGGGAGCGCATGCAGACTAACAGAGATAGTACCTCTTGAATTTTCTTCGTTAATAAAAGACCAAATTTGGGACAGTTGTAGCCTTTATCAAAGAGATAGAAAGGGAGACAGAGGGGATAACGTCCGTAAAGATCCACAGGTCGTATTCAAACCTGGGTCCCTACCAGGTGAGCTATCGGAAACTCGGAGACACCTCGCCATACAGATAATTTATTTTTTGTAGCTCTTCTGTATGATTTGTGTCACATTATATCAACTGTACATATGGTACCGTAGTTACAAACCGGTATTGATAACAATGGCTAACCTGAGGTGACTGCTAACGCTGTAAACAAGGAGACAACTTTGCTGCGGTCATCCCTCTTCTTCTGGCTTGTGCTACTGGAATGAGGTAAACACACCCAGTTCTGACCTCTGAATTTAAATTTAAATGGCATGCAGAATTTGCCGCAAAAGGACTTATTGAGCAAGGATCGAGGCAAAGTGTCAATCTACATGCATCACGGAAGGCAGCCAAAAAAACTGGCAAATCCTCAACATCAGACACAGGCATTCTGTAGACACTGCACACACTCGCAGTGTTAGTTCTTTGTGCAATACATGAGCACAAAGATGATGTCACTTAACGAAGCAGGAGTTGTGTTTCAGACTCACCGACCACCATGATGTTGAACTCCAGGCCGGCCTTCATGGTCTTGCGCCTCATCTGGTCCAGCACCGCCTCGATGCCCACGTATCCGAACAGGTCAGTGCCTCGGATGAAGCTCACCTGCAGGCCGTGCCCTGACTGGCACAGCTCCACCTTCACCTCGGCCTCCACCTCCATCCCCATCTCCTTCTTCAAGTCTCCTTCCTCCATCTCCTTCTTCAAGTCTCCTTCCTCCATTCCCTTCTCCTCCATCTCTGTACCGACCACCACTCCGTTCTGTCCTGTTTCAGGTATGGAATTCTGGGAGTCCATGGGGGCTGGTTGTCCTGGTTGGCACTTGCTGTCGTCTTGCAGTCCCATGATGCCCCTCTCCTTCTCCTCTCCGTCCTCCATTGGGCTGAGTGAGTCCGTCTCCAGCTCTCCAGCAGTTTCTGTTCATACAGAAAGAAAGAGCTCAGACATCAGAATCAGAATCTCTTCATGAGTCCCACAGAGGGGAAATTGTTACAGCAAAAGTAAAGAGACACAATATTAATTAAGAGGCATGGATACAATATCATAGATAGAAATTACACAAATACAAATGGAAAAAAGTACCTCTCTTGGTGGACAACAATAAGCACAGTACCAGGGGTTTTTATTTTTTATAAAATAAAAAACAAGTGTAGCATGTAGAGATAGTGTGATAGCTGCCAGGTTACAGTAATGAAAGTACAAAGTATATTGCACAGTTATTGATAGTGATAATACAAATTATAAATCGGTATAAATATATATATTGCACATAGGTGATATTGCACGACAGGGGTGTTATATGTGTGGAGGTCTACTAAAGTGTGACTGCTGCAGGAAGTAGCTGCGTATCTCTCCGTCATTGATGTGGCTTTCTGAGGGTTCAAGTGGGCATTTTTGGGTATATATAAGCTGTCCTCCCTGCAGGCAACATGTCCCCCTAAGACATGTCTCCTCTGAGGGGACATGTCTCCTCTGAGCAGCTCCTTCAGTGACAGGCTGCTTCCCCCCCTCCCCCCGGCTGTCTCAGGGAGAGATACCACAGGTCCTTCCTTCCTGCAGCGGTCAGACTCTAAAACCACTACGGCCCCTGGTAGACCCCCCCACAATACACACTGTTGAGATTGTGTGCAATACACACTCTTTATTATTCTGCTGCTACTTCAGTACAATGCAATTATCATTTTATGTGCAATACAAACATACATTATTTACAATTTCAAAAGGTTCACTTAAAAATGCTGCTACTTATTTTGATTATACTGAGTATTACTAACATGTGCTTGTCTCTATAATTTACAGAACAGGATGAGAGTTTCTGAAGTTAGAATTGTGAGAAAATGTCAGAATTCTGACTTTTATCTTGAAACTCTATGAAAAAATAATTCGGACTTTAACCTCAGACTTTCTATCAGAACAAAAAAAAATGCACTTCAGATACAAACAAAAATTCACATTTGGTCCTATTCCTCTTACGTAATATTTCATACATTACACTTACTCTTATAATTTGTTGTACTTTTGTCTGTACTGTCACTAATACTGTAACTATATTGGACTTCTAAAGGACTTCTGGAAAAGCTGTCTGCTACTATAAGATGGAGAGTGGGGGGTGAAAGGTTAACAAGGTGGATACATTGGGCTACGGAGTTTTACTGAACATGCAACATGTAGCTGCTGTGAAACACAGAACATGAAGAGAAATACTGAGAGAAGAACTATTTCTGAAAAACAGCTCCGTAGACTTTGTTGTGACAGATGTGAGCAAAAACAAAGAGGAGGCTGAGAGCTAGGTGAGGCTACGTCAGGATCAGGCTGTGTGGAGCAACACCGACTGGAGTGCTGTGATGATGTATTAATGTGTCAAATAATAGTTCCGGCACATAACTCACCCTTTAAAACCCACAGATGAAACAACAAGCTATAACATGTTTGTGAGCTTTAGAGATGTTGGTATTTTTGAACTTGGGACAGAGGCAGGCTAGCTGTTTATGCTAAACTAGGCTAATCTCCAGCTCATTGACATGACACTATTACCCTTACTATTACCTCATCTCACTCTCGCAAAGAACGAGTAGAAGCTACATTTATCCTGTTCAACGGGTACATGTTACAAAGGTTTACCTTATTAACACACACACTCACATAGCCACACACACTCACTCACACACACATATACCATGTATACATCACTTCAGGGGACACTACATTGACTTACATGCATTTCCTGGAGACTTATCCTAACCTTAACCATAACCAACACATACCTAACCCTAACCCTTAACCTAACCCTAACCAAGTCTTCACCCTAGAATGAATGATTCCCCCCATGGGGACCTCCAATTTGTCCCCATAAGGGAGGTGAGTCCCCACACGTGACTGTGTAAACAGATTTAGGTCCCCACAAGTATAGTAATGCTAGGCCACTCACACATACCCACACACACACACACACTGGTCTAAGTAACTGAATTCTATCCTTCTCTTATCTGTGTTTGTGTGTGTGCGTGTGAGTTTGTGTGTCTAGTCTTGTCTAGTCAGTGCTGTAAGAGGATTGGATAGAACTGACAATCCCCCTGTGAACTTGTAGTTGTGCGTGTGTGCATGTGTGTGTGTGTATGTGTACTTGTATGGACTTACAGTGCAATGCAATTATGACACAGTCGTCTGAAACCAGAATGACTGTGTGTGTATGTTTTTGTGTTTCTGCTTGACTCATTGAGCTGTGCCATCTTACGGATTGCACACACATGTACGCCACACACACACACACACACACACACACACACACACACACACACACACACACACACACACACACACACACACACACACACACACACACACACACACACACACACACACACACACACACACACACAGTTGGTTAGTGTCAGTCCACATAATTTAATCAGCTATAAATATCCACCTGTTCGAGCATTGGAACAGAACCAATCCCCCTGAGTCAGGACAGAGAGGAGGGGTTTTACGTATCAGTCAGTTTCACACTTTACTAAAGCAGGAGGTGTTTCACTATTAACCAACAGAGCACAGATGGACATGTACTTGCTGTACCTTTTAACACACTGCCAGGCTTGAAGGCTCTTTGTTGTCTATAGAAGAGGATTAGGGCCACTTTGATTTCTTTTTAGATTTGACCTGAAGACTATATTCTGATTTCATTCTCAGAATTCAAAGCTTATTAGAAAAAAGTCTGAATTGTTTTTACCTCAGAACTCTGAGATTAAAGTCAACATTCTGACACTTCAGGCCTTTTTCTCAGAAGTAAAACAAACAAAAACTTTTGGTCAGCTTTTTAAAATATTTCTATGTGCCCTAATCCTCTTCCCTAACTGTCGGATTGCCCCTTTAGATTTAATAATGTGTCTTTTGTGAGTTCCCACAGCTTTATGAAGGTGCAATACTAAATCAGTGGAGTGCCCATATACACTGACCTGTAAAACACTTAGAGATGAGTAAGGAGAAACACTTACATTTTGAGAGAGCCAGTCACTATAGTTTATACAAATACTTTGATGCATTCCAACGCAGGTATGTGTCATCAATTATACTTTACTGCAGTTCATACTGTAAATACTCAGAATGCACACTGAGAAACAACATATTGCAGAGTAGTCGTAGTAGTATTTTAAACTTTAAATTCTATATAAATAGACGTAATGCCAAGAAAAGTGTCATACAATGAAAGAGGTGATACTAAATGTTGGCGATATCTTTAGCCAACTTGATATTTGATCAGCATGTGTCTCAATATGTAACAGTAAAGACATGGGAGCCATAGCACGGACAATAACATGGACAGACTAATGAATAGGACTCGGTAACCCGGTGACTAGAGACACATGAGAAAAGCAAACAGAGCACCCACAGGAGAAGGAGACAGTATGAAGTGTTTGCTCAGGACGCCAGCATGACCATTGAGAGGCTCAAGAAGAAGATAGAAGGAGACTGATTTCTCTTTCTAATCCAGGGCCGTTTTAGACACAATTCACAGTAGTAACTTACTGCAGGAGTTATAACAAATCTTGGAATGTCATGGATCATATGAGAGAAACTCATTCTCTGACAGGTAGATTGATTTCAATTAAATCATCTGGTTTTTATTATTAAGAGGGAACTCAAATGAAGGCAAGTTGAGTATTATTAAAACATCCATAAGTCAAGAAATGTTTACTCTTGAGTTTCTGTGGGTCGAAAGAAACTAACAGGTTCTTGTGAGGGTTTTTAAATTAAAATGTAAAATAGGCCAAAACTCTTGAACATGTCACTTTGCTTTCTAAATAAAACAGGTTCAATTACAACAATGCTAAAAGAAATATCATAGAGATATATCATTTGCAAACAATAATAATTTGCAAATAATAATCAAAATGTATTTTTCTATTTATTAAAATGTATTTAAGGGATATTCAAGGCTAACATACAGGTCCTGAAATATTGAAGTAAACAAGTGCTCTTTATATGACATGCAACAAAGGATGACACCCCGGCTTATCATATAACAAATGTCCTTCATAGTACAACTTGACATATGCCATGTTTAGGCTTGTTGTTGTTATTATATATTGTACATAGACTTATATTAGGTATAAACAGTGACCTGGTTCAAATAGTGACTAAAAGAGTGGAGATGACACATTTGTACTGTTTGCAGAGAGGCAACTGAATACTACTGTGTTTCTTCAATAAAAGAAGAGCAAAGAGTGACCCTGAAGGTACACTCTAAAAACGAATTCAGGCGACCTTTCACCTCCACTTAATGAAATGCATGGTTGCAAGATAAAAATGTGAGTGAATTGATTTAGATAAACATTTTAAGTTGCAAACATTAATTTATAAGTTGTGTTGACGTAATAATGTTGGTAATTACATCAACTTAATATTGTGTGTAATCTGAATTCTGATTTCTGCGTTAATTGACTTCAAACTAAATTCAAGTTGTAGTAAGTAATGCAATTAGCTTGATAACTTAATTGTTCTACACCTTGAGTTAAGGATTTCAAGTCCACTCCCACTTAACATGCCTGGACAAGTTCCCACAGTTAAGACAAATAGAAATATACAAAGGACATTTTAAGGTGAGTGTCATCTTTTGTTATTCAAATACAGTAGATAGTAGGGATGTAACGATATATCGAATATCGCGGTAAATAAATGTCTCATTACCGTCGTGAGACTGACTAAATCTACCGCGATTTAAAATAATAAATACATTTTTTTTTTTTAACCTTTATTTAACCAGGTGGTCCCATTGAGATCATCGATCTCTTTTTCAAGGGAGACCTGTCCAACATGGCAACAAGTAGGTTACAACATGAACCTAAAACAGATAACACAAAAGGACATCGTATTTACAGGGCTAGTACACACCTAGAGACATTGACAAGTACCAACAGTA